GAGGAGGAACGGGTTGCCCCCCACGACGCATCGGGCGCAGTGCACCAACGATGCGTCGGCGGCGCGGCGCGCTCTGCACCGCGCGTTCATCCAGCCCGACGGAGCAGCGGGACGGACGCGGGACGCGCATCGGCGATGCGGAAGATTCCTCCGAGACGGCTTTTCCCTTGGCCCAGCCTGGGCGGCTCTTTTGGGAGGGTCCCGGGCCTGACCCCCACAACCCCCTCTACTCCTCCTCCTCCTCCCTCCTCACTCCTCCTCTCCTCTCCTCCTCCTCCTCCTCCTCCTCCTCCTCCTCCTCCTCCTCCTCCTCCTCCTGCCCCCCCCCCACTACGCAACGCGTGAATGGCCGAGACTGCCTCTCGAGGCCGGCGCTGTCGCCGAGGCGCCGGCGGAGATTGGGGCCCTTCCGCGAGGCTGCTCTGCGCGAAGGCCTTTGGAAGGCCTTCCTGGGAGGCTCGGGCGCCCGTCTCCGCCCCGCCCCCCGTGCCGCCGGCAGGCCCAGGTGGCCGCGCTGCTCGCCAGGGCCCTGGAGCGCCCCGCGGCCCTGGCCACCTCGGGCGGCGCCGCCCCCGCGGCGGCGGCGGCCTCTGCGGCGGGCCCACCGCGCCCCCAGGGGCCGAGGAGCGCGGATCGAAGGGTCCGAGGATCGAGCAGCGAGGGCCGAGGATCGAACGTTCCGAGGATGCGGGCTCGAGGATCGAGGACGGAGGGCCGAGGATCGAACGTTCCGAGGATCGAGCATCGAGGCTGGAAGTTCGGGGATCGTGGCTTGAGGCTCGAAAATCGAGGTGTTTGACGTTTCTGGGCACTTGCGCGGGTCTGAGAGTCGAAGCTCGACGATCGAGTAGCACGAGGGTGGGCTGGGCAGGAGTTCACGAATGGTGCATGCTGCATGCGTGCACACTTGCGCTCCATGGACCTGTTAGGCCCGAGCAGTGAAAAGGGAGAGGTTGGAAGGCGGAAGGGGAGTTCGGAAGCAGGGTGAGGGAGGTACGAGGAATGAGTCGCCGCAGCTTCAGAAGAGGGAGAAAGAGAGCGGAGAGAGAGAGAGAGAGAGAGAGAGCGGCAGTGGGGCGACGAGAAAGAGAAGGAGGAGAACGAGGCGAGCGGGAGGGGCAGGGGAGCAAGGGTATGGAAGAGGACGGGAGGAAGAGCCGAGCGGAGAGGGGGAGGGAGGGCTTCCGCGTTCGCTGGGTGATCCCCTTCTTTTCTCCTCTGGAGGCAGACCAGCTTTTCTGCTGGAAGCTCTCGGGAGAGATCTCGCGTTGTCTGAAAACGCCCGGGAGATGTTGGTGTGGCTTTGAACCCCTCCCGCAATTACACGATATGAATCCATTTTTCTCTCTCCCCTAACCATGTCCTGAACATGTCCTGCCCATTCCGGAATTCGATCCTGAATGAGATCATATATTGTATAGAGATCGTGGATCGGGTTGGCCTGAGTTTTGCTGATCCGCAAACCTGGGATCAAATCCAACCGCTCGAGCCGGTAGTTCACCCTTCGATGGAGTGGGCGAGAGTTGCCGCAGGGGCTGCCGGCGGATTGGGCTGCTGGCGGATTGGCACACTTGGGAGCCTCGTGGTACGGTCAACGCTGCACGTGCCAGGTGGACCTCGGAAAGGGCTTCTCTGTGGACCGCGAGCTCCTCAGGCTGCTGGAGGGTCAGGTCCAGCGCTGCGGGCCCGCCAACCTCACGGTGCCTGCCCCTTGTCCTGTGCCTGAGTACTCGGGTTGCCCTGGCCTCGTGCTGGTGCTGGCGGTTGTGTTGGCCTTCGTGCTGGGTTTCGCCGCCGCGTCCGCGACAGGCTCGATCTGGCTGTCAAGGGTTCTGTGTCGATAGGTGTAAGCGATGGCAAACCACGTGCGTCAGGACCAACGGGTGTTCGTTTCCTATGACGTGGACCCTCACGAGCTCGCGTGGCATGCGAGGTTTCGCTGTGCCCACGTCCAGGGGAGTTCCTGGGTCGTCGCGACGCCCGACCGTGACATGTACTTCGAGGAACTCGAAGAGGGCGTAGAAAACTTGGTGCAGCTGGGCCCGTGGGGCGGCCCCCCTCCTTTGGCTGGAGCCGCGGGCCCACGCACCCCTTCCGCGGTTCCACGCAGGGCTCGCTGTCCAAGGAGGAGAGGCTGCGCTTGCAGGCTGAGGGGGAGGAGCTGGCGGCCGCCGAGCGTCTCGACCTGGGCCTGCAGATCCAGCCGGCGCTGCCGCCTCCGCCTGGCCCCCCGCCTGCTTTGTCGCACGGCGACGACGGCGGCCTCGACGAGGGCGAATGGACGTTCGCGGAGACGCCAGGTGCAGCGCGCCTGGGCGAGCGGGCGCCGCAGGCTGTGCTGGAGGCCAGCGCCTGTCGCGGGGGCCGCGGCGTCGTTCTGTCGGGAGGCGCCCGCGTGAGCTGCGCCTTCTTTCGAGCTGGAGAACAGATGCCGACCGCTCGAGGTGGTGCTGTCTGTCCTCCTGGAGGGTTTCTCGCAGGCAGGGCTGGGGCGTCGAGCTGCGCGGAGCGGCGGCGCGCTCGCCGCCGAGCTGCAGAGGCGTGGCTGCAGGACGGCGCCGCGACGCTCAACGCAATGCCCTGGGAAGTCGCGGCGAGGAGTGGGGCCCCAAAGTGATGTCTGGCGCGATCCAGCGCCAGTCTGTGGCCAGCCTGGCCCGGGCGTGCTTCTCCGTGCCGCCGCCGCCCGACGACCTCGCCACTTCGGGAGCGTGGTCTGCGCTTCGGGGTAGCGGTTCTGGCCGCGCTTTCAGCGGCGTGGTCGCCGGAGATTTCGTGAACTACCAGCGCTGCAGGCTTGCCGTGCCGGCGGTCGGCAACCAGGCCATCGGGTTGCCCACCCGACCACTACCAGAAGTTGCTGGGGGCCAGCGGCCACTCCATTCGGCTGTCTGCGGCGCGCGCGGGAGCCTGCTGCGGGCGTGGACATGTCTGGGCTCGCGGTGGGATCCCATCCTGGCGAGGCCCCCCAGCAAATTCGCCGAGTTTTTGACCGGTGCATGTGGATCTAGAGTCGTCGAACTGGCGTCCGAGATTCGTTATTTTGCGGTGGTCTTCTTCGTCCGCAAGAATGGCGGCTCGCTGCGCCTCATCTTCAATCCGCGCACGACCGACGCCCAGTCTCCACCGCTCGATGGAGTCGGTCTGGCCTCGCCCGAGGCGTTGGGGGACCTCAAGTTGCCAGCTTGCCAGCAGTTGTGGGTGTCCGAGGGGGGCGTCGAGACTTGCTGCTACCAGTTCCTGCTGGCCGTTGACCTGCTCTGCGATTTCGCGACGCCCGCTACGCCTGGGCGCCCGCTGCCGTCGCGGCCTCGCTTGTCGTTCCCGTCCTCCGCCGAGCAGGTGCACTTCCAAGCGCGCGTGGCCCCGATGGGCTGGAGCTGGGCGGTCGCGCTCGCACAGGCGGCCAACGCGGGGCTTCTGAGGTCGGGGCCCTGCGGGCCCCGACGCTGGGCTTGCAACGGGCGCCGCGCGCCTTCGGTCGCTGGGCGCGAGCCAGCCGCGCTGCTGCGCATCGACGACTTTGCCGCCCTGGGGGTCGAAAAGGAGTCCGTCATGGCCGACGGCGGCTCGATGGAGAGGCAGCTGAGGGGTCGGGGTTTCGGCACTCACGACGTCTCGGGACCGCCAGTCGACGCGGGCCTCCTGGGGGTCTGCACCGACGGCTTGAAGGGTGCGATGCACATCGCGCCCGAGCGGTTCTGGCGACTCGCCCCGCGCCCGGACTTCATGCTGGCGCATCCCTTCCTGGCGGGGGCCGAGCTGGAACGGCCGATCGGCCACCTCGCGCACGCGCTGCTGCTTCGCCGCGAGGTCCTGAGCCTGCTGGGCGCCGCCTACGTGTTCGCCGGCATGTGGTATATTCCCGCCGCGTGCGCCTTTGGCCTTGGGCGCGCAGGGAGCTGCGGCGGTCGCGCTCGCTGCTGGCGCTGGCGTGGGCTGACCTGCGAGGGAACTGGGCGCCCGGCGCGATCGCCGTGGACGCGCCCCCGACGGGTCTCGGCGCAGTCGAGCGCCCCGCCCGCCCGCCCGCGCCTTCTGACATCGAGCGCGCGAGAGAGCGCCGGCGATTCAAGGGGCAGGGGCTGGCGGCGGAGGGCTCGCGGGCGCGCGCGCTCCTCGGGCGCCGCGGCGGACTCGCCCTTCCCCGACGCGCCCGCGGACTTCTGCTGGGCGCCAGTCTGGAACGCCGTGGCCCCCCGTCACTGGCGGCGCCGGGCGCCGATCCAGGACCCTGGGGGGCGAGGCGCTGCCGTGGGCGATGCGGAGGCAGGCGCGGCGCGTCGCCCATCGCGGGCGGCGGCTGCTCTTTCTGTTACACAGCATGTGCGTCAGCTGTAATTTGGCAAGGTCGTGTCTCCGATTTCGCCATCCTTGTTCAGTTGCGTCACCTCGCGGCCTCAGAATTTGCTCCACCTTGTCGAGTACCAGTCAGATGGATCCCCTCCGAACCGAATCCCGCCGACGCCCCATCTAGCCGGTTCGAGCCTCGCTGTTTGCGGGGCCATGGGGCGCCACCGGCCCCTGGCGCCTCGCAGCTGCCAGGACCTCCCGCCGCCGCGGGAGCCGCCGGCACCGCTGCCGCCTGCGCCGCGGGCGCCGACGCGCAGCCGCTGCGCTGGGCTCCGCCGCGGCTCGCCAGCCCGCCCAAGCGCGAGGAGAGCACGAGCCCCCTCGTGCTCGACGGCCGCGGCCCTGCCTTGGCGCCGCCCCCAGGGCTCGAGTGTTTCGGGCCTGGAGCTGGGGGCCGTGAGGCCCACGACGCGGCGGAGCTATCTCCGGTACTTGAGTGGCCTCTGTGCCTGGTTGGGTCTGGAGACGCTGCCGAGCTGGTCGGCCGTGGAGCGGGGCGACGCGCTGCTCCGGCACCTGAACAACGAGTTCGCGCCGGGCACGAGGCCGCGCCGAGCCTCGAAGCTGCTGTCCGCTCTGCTGCGGGCGAGGCCTGCGCTCGGACGCCCGCTGCGGGTGGTCCTGCCGCGGAGCTGCCGGGCGCTGCTGGGCTGGGGACGCAAGAGGCCGGACCGGTCTCGGCCGCCCGGGCCCTGCCCTGGCTCGTCCTGCGCGGGGCATCCCCTGCGTGCCTCGTGGCGGCCTCGCGGGGCCGTCCAAGGGCGTCTCGGGGGTGCCTCGCAGCGTCTTGGCCCGCCCCTGGGCTGTCTCCAGTTGGGCCGTTCGGCGCTTTCAGTGCCGCACTCTGGTTCTCTTCCGGGCAATATCGGGCCCCTCGCGCCGGGCTTAATTCTAAGGCCGCCTTGAGGCTCTCGCGAGCTGTCTGCGGGCCGTTTCGGGTCCAGCCTGGGCCGCGTTGGGTTATCTTGGTGCGCGCTTGCCATGAATCACCCTTGCAAGGCACTGCTGGCCATCTTGAGCCATCGCGAGCCATCTTGAGCCATCGCGACGGGGGGGGCGCCGCCGCTTAGTTGAAGCACGCGGCGAACCCCCCGCCCGAAGGGTGCAATCACCATCGCCAGATCCAGCGATGAGTGGGGAAGGGTCACCGCTAGTGGGCTGTCTCGCGGGGCGGCGGCGAGGGCATTTCGGCGCAGTCTTGGGGCAATTGGGGGCAACCTTAGGCCGCCTTGGATGCGCGTGAGGTGAGGTTGAGGCCACTGGGGCCTTTTGGTGGCCGTTTGGGGTGGGCTCTCTGGGGCACCCTGGAGGCTTCGTGGGGGGGGGGGGGGGGGGGCGCGTTGGCAGCCCCTGGGGGGTCAGCTTCGGGCGGAGGGCTCGAAACAACAAGTAAAATTCGCCCTCTTTGGCCGTCTTGGAGGGGGGCGGCAGGCTTGGCAGGCCTTTGCTTGGGCGGGCATGCTTTTCGTTTTCGCCCGACGGCACAGCGGTGGATACTTGTTTCGGTGGAGGTCAGAGCGGGGCGGGTAAAGAGGAATTGGCGGGGGTGGTGGAGGGTGAAGAGGAATTGGCTGAGATGTTGGTAAGGGTGGAAGGCGGGGAGGGAAGAAGAGCTGGATGAAGTGGAAGCGTCGGGCGGCGCCTCGGCCTCGGCATGGCGGCGCGGCGCATTTGTTTTTTCCGACGCGAGAGGGGGTAGGGTAGGGGACAAGAGACAGGGAAACGCGAAGTGGCAGGAGGGGGGCTGTAGGAGTCAGATAGGAGGCGGAGGAGCCAGGATGGAGGGGGGGGGAGGATGAGCGGGGGAAAGGCGGACACAGGAGGGACGGAGGAGGAGGGAGGAAGGATGGAAGGCGGGAGTGCGCCGGTCGCCAGGTGCCTGCAGTGCAACGCGCGCGCTGCACTGACGGCGATTGTTTTCGCTCGTGGCGGCCTGGGTCGGTGTCGCGGAGGTTCGAAACATTTAAAATGCGATTCTCCCCCTTTTGCCCCTCCCGCCCCCCACTTTTTTTCCGGGCCGAGCCTTCCCCCGAATGCGAACGTTTTCCCCGTGCCGCGTTGTTCCCCCCTTGTTATTCGTTGTTTGTTTTCGCGGGTTTCGGGTGCTTCGGAAACCAGGGCCGACACTTTTGCGAAAACCATGAAGATTTTAGACATCAGGGCAGACACTTGTTCGAAAACCGTGGGGGGCTTCGGAAACCAGGGCCGACACTTAAGCGACAACCGTGGAGGTTTTGGGAACCAGGGCAGACGCGATGTCGAAAGCCTTGGGGGGTTCGGTAATCACGTTTCGCAAACAAATACAGAGAAACGCACGAGTAGCACCAGACATTTTTCGGAGACTGTTGTGGCACTTTTGTGGCGTTCGTTGAACAGCAGTCTCTAGAGGGTTATTCCTGTTACGGCTCCAGCCATTCTCTTGGGCGAAAGCGCAACGGAAAAAAAAGGGCCGCGTGAACGTGCCAATTGCAGACACCATGTCCTCGAAGGGATCTCCTGGGGACGTCTGTAACCCAGCCGTAACCCAAAGTCCTTTTGCCGATCGCTCGCAAAATCTTTGTTTGACGCCTACCGTGACCGCCGCCTGGCTCGCTTGTGGGATGTGTGTAAAAACTGACGGTTGTACCAGTACACTTCTGTAATTGGCCGTGGATGCGGCCAAGAGTTGGCGTCATATTGTTGTGCTGTTCCATCGCGCCGCCATTGCCAAGGCTGTGGCCCCGCGCCCTCTCAAGCTTGTGATGGAGTAAAAGACAAATCAAGAGGGGAAAAAGAAACACAGACACGATTAGTCGTCGATTCCCAGAAAATATGGGAAAATATGGGAAGTGGGAGGGAAGACAAAAATCCAGAAAATATGGGAAAATATGGGGAATCTAGTTATTTGTGTGTATTTATTTGTGTGTCCCAATTTCCCTTCAACAAAGCCTTAGAGATCGTGGATCGGGTTGGCCTGAGTTTTGTTGATCCGCAAATATGGGATCAAACCCAGCCGCTCGAGCAGCCCACCCACACGCCACCCGTTGTTCTGCTTTCTCTGCTGTTTCCCCCACTAGTTCACGAAGTCAGCAAGCCAAGGGTTTTCTGGTGTCAGGCTGCTGCGATGTTCCTTCGCACCGCCGCTGCCAAGGTTGCGATCCCGCATCCTCTCAAGCTCGGGCTGGAGTGAAAGACAAGGCCGAATCTGGTGTTCATTCGGAATGTTCTCGGCGTATCTAAACCGTGTTCGGGTTGCAGCGCGGAATTCATTTTCGATTGGCGTTCTGTTCCCGTTGTTCAGAACGGCGGTCTCGCCCCAGTTCGGTTCAAATTTCTGGATGCGAGTCTTTCCTCGCCGTTGTCGCCCCGCTCCTCCCGCTCCTCGTCCTCCTCCGCCTCCCGCCTCCTCCTCCTGTTCCTCCTGTCCTTCTCCTGCTCACCCGCCACTTCCTGCAATGTGTCGGCTCTCCTTTTCTGAATGTGCATGACACGATGATGCTTTTGTTGTTGGTTCCAGGTCTGCTGCGACACCCGTGGGCGAATAGAAAACAAACACCGCAATGGGACGCGATTGGTCGGCGTGGTAAGATGTCAGGTATGGTGCGAGCACACCTTGCGTGCCCCCATCCCCCTCTCCCTCCCCCCTCCTCTCTCTCTCTATATATATATATATATCTATTAGCTTCCGCCATCCCCCCCTCCCCCTCCTCCCCCTTCGGCCCTCTCCATAATCTCCGGTATTCCCTCTGCGCTGTCCCTCTCGCTCCTTTCAGGGAGGACGGACGACAGGAGGGGAATGGCCAAGGGGAGGGACATCGACCCCCAACTGCCCTTTCATCGCCAATCGGGGCATGGGTCCCCCACCTCGCCGCGGAGCGTGCAGTTTCGCCATCGAGGGTCTTGTCGGCGGTGCGTCGCCGACTCCAGGGCCAGACCCCCCGTTCAACCCCCTCGTCCTCTTTCCCCAGAACTCCGACGTCGCGATGTGCTGCCAACGTGGACCCCTCCATGGGGGGCCTTGACCCCTTCCCGAGGGCCAGCTTTTCAGCCCGAGTCGTTGTTGTTACGGTCCCCCGGGCCCGTGAGGACTTTTGGAGGCTTAAAAGTGTTGAACAAATTGAATCTGGGCTCCCATCCCAATCCCTCCTCTGTTCTCCCTCCTCCCTCCCTCCCCCTCCTCCTCCTCTTCCTCCTCAACTCCCGCCTGCTGCCCTCCCCGAAGAGGTGGCCGCGCTTCCCGCGCTTGTGCAGAGCTGCATCGACTCGCTGAGCGGCAGCGGCGCCGACACCGCAGACGACTGGGCGGGGGCGAGGAAACGGCGGTCAGCGCCACCGAGACGGGTGCGCAGTAACACGTGCTTCGGCAGGGCGCAGGGAGGTGCAGGAAAGCGACAGACAGACAGACAGACAGACGGACAGTCAGACAGACAAGCCATTCGCTGGAGCGCGTGGGCGAAGGTGAAAACTGCCAGCCTCTTCTCACCGCGTTGCGGGGAAGGCGGCACGCCTACTCTCAAATTTACCTCTTGCGTTGCAGGGGGAAGGGGAGGAGGGGGGGAGGAGGAGGAGGAGGAGGAGGAGGAGGAGGAGGAGGAGGAGGAGGAGGAGGAAGAGGGAGCGAAGTGGGAGGGAGAGACACAAAATCAATGACAAAGTGATGCCACGCTGCTGATTCGCTGACACATTGCATTATTGCTGGTTCAGACGTGAAGTGCGGAGCGACGGTTTTGTATAAACACTTGGCCCATTCATTTCTGGGCGGGCCGCTTGCGCGACCGCACGCGTCTGTGGCTGGTCGCGCGCTTCTTGGTTGGATGGTGAGGCGCCGCAAAAAGTCTGAATATGTCGCCCTGCATATGTTGCCAAACCACAACAGTTGAGACCTTACCAGCTGCACTGTGTAGGGCGGTTGGCCTGATTGCAACAGCACCTGCTCGTTGGAATTGCTTGACAAGTACGCGTGGGAATGTGCAACATGCGACGTGGGCACCTCGCTTGGAAGCCATCTAATCTTCTGCGTTCTGATTTGTTGAGCCACGCCGAATTCAGCGAGTACATAACTTTACTTGTCACTAATGCTTGAAAAAACTTGAAGCTTTCGAGCAACACTAATTGACGAATGCTTCCAGGCGCGCGCATATTTACAGAACTCACCCCAAGCAGCTCCCAATATTCTAAACAATTCTCCAGATAGTTGCCCAGAGCTAGACAGCGTGTCTCCAAGATATACCATCGAATCTCGTGGTTGGATTTGATCACCACTAGGCGTGCAGAGGTTGATGTCGCAGCGAGCCGGCATAAGTTGAAATTTGTTCCAGTGTAGCTCCATACCCACCCGTGCTCCTGCGCGAGCGACTGCCAGCAGGGCTTGAAGTTGATCTTGGTTGCGGCCCACCAACAAAGTGACACCCGCATACAAAAGTATAGTCAAAGACTCGCCCGTCAAAGCTTGTCGCACTCCAGCCTCTGCGTGGCGCGCATTGTCCCAGATAACCATCGTCATTGCCATCACGAACAAGAATGGGAACAATGGGCATCCCTGCGAGATTCCAGAATATTGGTGTCTCTCTGTAGATCGTTGCCGTCCATCTGCAACGCGGAATGTTCTGCCGCCGTAAATGCTGCCAATGATGTTCAGGATGCGGCCCGGGACCCCGAAGTTTCGCGGCGCCTCCAAAAGCGCGGTCACGTTGATCGAGTCGAAAGCCTTTTTCAAATCCAGCGCGACGAAGGCTACGCCCCCATGCTTGTCTGCAAATGCCAACTCGATGTAACGACGTACAGCATGTAGTGCGTCTGATGTCCCACGCCGCCGGCGGAAGCCGAACTGTGTTGGCGTGAACCTATCCTCGGCCCCAGCGTCTGGTAGCCGCTTCAAGATGAGCGCCAACTTCCCGCCAGGGATAGCGCGGGAAGGTGGCAGGAGAGCGCCACGTTTTCCAGCACCGGCCAGGGTCCCCCGTCTGCTGGGTACCCATCAGGGTGGCGCTGGGCGGGGGCAAGCAAGCGGCACGGGGTCACATCAGAAGCGCCGACAGGAGGGGGGAGGACTGGCTCGGGGGGGCAGGCATCGGCCCCCAATCGCCCACTCCTCGCGGATCGCCCAGGAGCGTGGGGGTTCCCCATCGGGGGCCTGTCACCGATCTGTCGGCGATGCATCGTCGATTCCAGGTCACTGCTCCGTGAGCCTGTCCTCAGAGCCCCGAATCATCAGGGGCAACTCGGGTCAGGGCTAACTCGGGTTCCTTTTTCGGGAATCCAAACCCGAGTTACCCCGGACCCGAGTTGCCCCGGATAACTCGGGCGCCCAGAGCCCCGAATCGTCAGGGGCAACTCGGGTCAGGGATAACTCGGGTTCCTTTTTCGGGAATCCAAACCCGAGTTACCCCGGACCCGAGTTACCCCAGATAACTCGGGCGCCCAGAGCCCCGAATCGTCAGGGGCAACTCGGGTCAGGGATAACTCGGGTTCCTTTTTCGGGAATCCAAACCCGAGTTACCCCGGACCCGAGTTACCCCAGATATTTCGGGCGCCCAGAGCCCCGAATCATCAGGGGTAACTCGGGTCGGGGATAACTCGGGTTCCTTTTCCGGGAATCCAAACCCGAGTTACCCCGGACCCGAGTTACCCCGGATAACTCGGGCGCCCAACCGAATCATCAACGGGTCAGGGGTTCGGGTTCTTTTTCGGAAACCCGAGTTACCCCGGACCCGAGTTACCCCGGATAACTCGGGCGCCCATGTCCCGAATCATCAGGGGTAATTCGGGTCAGGGCTAACTCGGGTTCCTTTTTCGGAAATCCAAACCCGAGTTACCCCGGACCCGAGTTACCCCGGATAACTCGGGCGCCCAATGTCCCGAATCATCAGGGGCAACTCGGGTCAGGGCTAACTCGGGTTCCTTTTTCGGAAATCCAAACCCGAGTTACCCCGGACCCGAGTTACCCCGGATAACTCGGGCGCCCAGAGCCCCGAATCATCAGGGGTAACTCGGGTCAGGGATAACTCGGGTTCCTTTTCCGGGAATCCAAACCCGAGTTACCCCGGACCCGAGTTACCCCGGATAACTCGGGCGTCCAGAGCCCCGAATCATCAGGGGTAACTCGGGTCAGGGATAACTCGGGTTCCTTTTTCGGAAATCCAAACCCGAGTTACCCCGGACCCGAGTTACCCCGGATAACTCGGGCGTCCAAGCCCCGAATCATCAGGGGTAACTCGGGTCAGGGATAACTCGGGTTCCTTTTTCGGAAATCCAAACCCGAGTTACCCCGGACCCGAGTTACCCCGGATAACTCGGGCGTCCAGAGCCCCGAATCATCAGGGGTAACTCGGGTCAGGGCTAACTCGGGTTCCTTTTTCGGGAATCCAAACCCGAGTTACCCCGGACCCGAGTTACCCCGGATAACTCGGGCGCCCAGAGCCCCGAATCATCAGGGGTAACTCGGGTCAGGGATAACTCGGGTTCTTTTTCGGGATTCCGAGTTACCCGGATAACTCGGGCGCCCAATGCCCCGAATCATCAGGGGTAACTCGGGTCAGGGCTAACTCGGGTTCCTTTTTCGGGAATCCAAACCCGAGTTACCCCGGACCCGAGTTACCCCGGATAACTCGGGCGCCAATGTCCCACCCCCCCCTGCATGCAGCTGGTTTCGGCCTCACCGAGGGGCCCTTCCTCGATACGTGGCCGCCTCCGGCGCCGGGAGGCGCCGGGAAAATCAGCTACGTGAGCTGATTCTCAAACCCCCCTTTGCTATCCCCCCCTTTCGCCCGACCCGACAGTTCGGCTCCCCTCATCGCCGGGGTGCACACCACTGTTGCGTTGATGCTGCATGTCTTCGTCCTCCTCCTCCTCCTCCTCCTCCTCCTCCTCTTCGTCCTCGTCCTCCTCCTCCTCGTCCTCCTCCTTCCCCCTTCCAACTTATGGTGGTGGTGGTGGGAACCAGGCCCATCATGTCTTCCTCTTGCTCTCCCGCGGGCTGCCGCGGGGCCCTGACGCTCCCGGCGCGCCCGAGCGGCCCGCAGCCGCGCGCTTGAGAGGCCCCAGTCCCTCGAGGAGCAGCGGCCCGCGCGCGGGGCGGCGGCCCCGCTGCCGGGCACCCCGCTCGAGGAGCAGTGCACTGCGGGCCCCTTGCCCCGGCCCAGGAGGCTGGCCCACGCCTACGGCACCTCATTCCGGGCGCCCTCAGTTGAGTTGGGGAGGAGAAGGACGGGGGGGGAGGAGGAGGAGGAGGAGGAGGAGGAGGAGGAGGAGGAGGAGGAGGAGGAGGAGGAGGAGGAGGAGGAGGAGGAGGAGGAGGAGGAGGAGGAGGAGGAGGAGGAGGAGGAGGAGGAGGAGGAGGAGGAGGAGGAGGAGGAGGAGGAGGGGAGGAGGAGGAGGGGGAGGGGAGGGAGGAGGAGGAGGGAGGGGGGAGGAGGAGGAGGAGGAGGAGGGGGAGGAGGAGGAGGAGGAGGAGGAGGAGGGGGAGGAGGAGGAGGAGGAGGGGGAGAAGGAGGGGGAGAAGGAGGAAGAGGAGGAGGGGGGGAGGAGAAGGGGGTCTAGAGTAATCGCAGAATGCATAACGAATTCCCTAGGTACCTCCACACGGGCCACTGCAAGCCTTCGTTTTCACCACGAGCAGCGCCATTTGGAAAGACGAGCACTCCATGAGCCTGCCATACAAGCGAGAGCCCCGTCTTGAAAAAGGATCCGCCCTCCAGCCTTCTTGCTTTCAAGACAGCAAGAGGGTAGGATCAGAACCTTCAGGGAGGTGTCTCGGGAGGGCCCCGTCTTGAAAAGGAGCCGTCGTTTTTTCCGTGCAGTTGTAGCACTACTAGAAGATTCAGTCCATGAAACTTGAAGTTTCAAGCGAGATTGTAATTTTTAGCATAAACCGTCCTCCAATCGTGTAACGGTTGCACGCATTGGAACTGTCAAGGCTCGATCCACCTCGGGAAGTGCCGCAGAAAGACAGAATCGAGGGCTGCGGTTGCGAACAGAGGAGATGATGACGGGGAAATCTTGACCAGAGCCGCCGACACCCTTCTGCGGCATTTCTCGAGTTGGATGCTTGCGTGAGGTTCCGGGCGCATGGCAAATACGCCCGTCATGATTCATTGGCTTACGCAGCACCACCGACGCTCTAGGAGCCCTGGATGCCTCTCTTCGGGGGTTGTTGTTGTAGAGGCGCGTTGGCTCCGTCGGACCACTTGAGAAACGCAAAACATGGCGCAATAGAGGCCCTGGCTGGTCATCTTTGGGCCTCCGGGGGGACTCCTAGGGCAAGCACGTTCGTCATGATTTCTCTTCGCGACGCCCAGACCTGAACACGCGGAGCTGCGACGGGAGAAGGAATACCGCTCCATTGGGGGCGGAGGTCTCTGGAGCCCTCGGGAGGTGCCGGGAGGTCTCTGGAGGCTCCAAGGCGCAGAAGCAGAAAGAACGACCAAACACAATATTCCTGGATCCGATCCTCCTCTTCCTCCCCCGACGCGAAAAATCCGCACAAGACGGGTCCCCGTGCCCCTCCCAGGGTCAATCCTGGCCAGTTGTTCATCCCAGCCGATTTCTGACTGGCCCAGGCCCCATGGCGCGAAACGGGCCACAGTGGCCGAACTCGGCGAAAGTGTTGGGCGCGAGGTTCCTCCCTCATCCCCCTCTTCTTCCTCAGGATCGATCCTCTGGACCTCTCACGGGGTGTGTTCAGGCAGAACTTTCGAGGCGAATCCAGTCGTGGTGATGAGGGAGCCTCTGGAGGCCCCAAAAGACCCAGGCACGCTATGAAGCCTCGATCCTCGCACCCAGACACCCAACGTCGTGATTTGCTCGCAACGTGGACCACCCCTAAGGTTTTGGCCCGTTCCCCAGGATCGGCTTTTCGTCCTGAGTCGTTGTTTGTACGGCCCCACCTGAGTCGTCCAGAGTCGTTGAGGTGGTCCCCAGAAGCCGAAACGTTACCAAAAACGTTCCGCCGTGATGTGTCACGACGCGGGTGGAACGCATGCTTGCTGCGAATGAGAATGGAGTGGAATTGATCCGTCGGTGGATCATCTCTTTCGGGATCGGAAGGGTCTCGCTGTTCCTTAGGTCGTGCCATGGTTACCGCTCTAACGCTCCTCGTGCACCCAAGCGCTTGTGGGGGAGCCAGAAAGGACCCTCCTTCCTCAACGGGCGTTCCCGATGGGAAGCAGTTTCATGGTCTCAGTATTTCTTCTCGACGGTAAGCCCGACCCTCGATTCTCGGCGCCCGCGCTAGGACGCTTGGTTCAGGGAGGAGAGCGCCTTCCTGCAGGGCGTCGCGCCGCTGGTGTCAGCCGACCTGCTGCCCAGCTCCAGCTGCACAGGCGGACGGCGCCACGCCTTTCCCCTCGCGGGGTAACCCACCCGACACGAGGCAGGGCCCGTTTCGATCCGGCCGACCCGACTTGATGTCGATTCTTGCCGTGCTCGATTGGATGCCGGCATTCCGACGATGAGACGCGGCCCGATGCCTGCATGGCCGATTGGCGTTGTTGCACATCCTGGCGGAGCCAATCCGATTCGGTGACACGACTCCGTGCCGATGCAGCCCAATCCGCCGCACATTTCGGAGGAGGGCCTGTCCAGACACGGCAGCCCTCCATGGCGTGTTGCGGCTTTTCGGGGGCCTCGTGGGGGGCGTCTCGTCGCAACGGCCAGACCCGCCACGAGAAGACGGGCCAGGATGGCACCGGGGGATGTCCTGGAACCGATTTGTTGCGGAGCTGGGCCAGGCGTGAGAGAGCCGCTGTTGTGTCAATTGGCCCTCCTCCGACTTGAAGGGTGCCCCCCGACGGGAGGAAAAGTGGACGGAACAAGTCGGGGCGAACGTAACAGGGGTGGGTTAGCCAGTCCCCTCAGAATATTTCTGGCTGACTGACTGAGGTTCGGGAGCTACTTCCTGTTTCGTGGCTGGCCAGGATTCGTGATATGGCCATAGCTCACCCCAGTTCGTGCTGACACGGGTTAGCGCGTCCCCGAGGGATGGGAGGAGGAGGAGGAGGAGGAGGAGGAGGAGGAGGAGGAGGGTAAAAACAGAAATGTGAACATGCAGCAGCAGCAACAGCAGCGGTAGCAGCTGCAGTTGTGTGGCATACGGGAAAGTGCAGACAACGAGATAGTTACCCGAAAACATAGGGGGCTAGAAGAGCATGCAGTGGCGGTGCAAACCGTAATCAGGAGGTGGAGGAATGACCATGTAAGAAATTTGGCATCGTCATGAGAAACAGGAAGGTGGGGAAGGCCAAACGCCCGCGATGGAATAGTCTGGACCGACGAAATAAGGTGGGGAAGTGCTAACTACTAAACTTACTGCAGCAGGTGGCGCGGTGAGACGTGAAAGGCAGAAGTAGTGAGGAGGAGGAGGAGGAGGAGGAGGAGGAGGAGGAGGAGGAGGAGGAGGAGGAGGAGGAGAGGGGACACTCGAGGGCTGAGGTTTTCGAGTGTTGTAACAATCAGCAAACGTATCGATCTCGAGCCGTCGGTCTCACTCTGCGAAGACAGGCTACCGCAAGCGCTGGCTCCCCCCCCCGCCCCATCGCCCGCCCCATCGCCTCCGCTCGCCGGGAAGCCTGGACGGGGGCCGGCGGGGAGGCATCTCTCCTTCCTCCCTCGCTGCCTCCTGCTTCGTCACACGCGTGGCGCTGTTGCCTCCCGCATGCGCAGTCCTCGTCTGCTGCCCGCCTGCTTCTCTACACCCTAGGCGATGCTTAAGAAAACCCAAGTTTTCGTCCAGAGTCTCGATTATTCTTAACTTTTCAATGTAAATCCCAAGATTTTGATGGAAGTTCTGGGTTTTATTCCATTTCTGAGACTATGAATTTCTTAACCCATGATTTCCTAAGCATTTCGCAGGGTGTGTATTCCTTCTCTCTCCTTCGCCGGGCGGTCGTGGCTGGGGGCGGGGCGGCGACCGCCAGCCGCCTGCATGGACAAGACGACATGCCGCTCGTCAGAGCTCCACGGCCATCGCTGCCCTCGTTCTCCCCACGCCTCCCGTGCTCGTTGCATGCTTGTATGATCATAAGTGCTTTCTCCCTCCTCATTTCTCTTGGCTGGTCCGAGGGGTGCCACAGACACGAGGTGGGTTCGTGCACCCGAGCTCACCTTTGCACTATGCCGCGCATCGAATCAAAAGCTTGGTTCCCCTTCCCAGGGGGAGGGGGCAACAAGGTCGGTTTGTCGGCCACAGGCCACGAGTTCTTCCGTCAGCTGAGCTCTGCCGAAGGAGGGGTGAGGACGTCAAAGTTTGCTAACCGCTCGAAGAAGTGCGCTTTGGGCCCTGAGCAGCTTGAGGAATGAGAAGGGGCAGGAACGCGACGAGAGGAGGAGGAGGAGGAGAAGGAGGCTGGGAGCGAGGGAGGGGGAGCAAGTGAGGAGGAGGAGGAGGAGGAGGAGGACGACGACGACGACCACCAGCCCGAGGCCAGCGAGTGCAAGGAGTAGGACCAGGAGCAGGACGAGAAAGATAATAAAAACAAGTGGAGGAGGAGGTTGTTGTTTTCAGAGGGGGGCGTGCGAATTCCCCCTAGCAGCGAAATTGTTATATGCCTTGCTCGAATGACCGAGAAGTGGACAGACTGGGTCAAACCGTGCTTTACGAGGGCGTACCGTGCGCAACCCGTGGCGCAACTCGCAATTTAGGACAGTGGGGGGCAAACCTTGTTTTGGAGGGTGTGCCATGCGCAGCCTTTGGCGCAAGCTGCGGCGCAACCTGGGACAGAGCGGGACGAGTCGTGATTCGGAGCGCTCGCAGTGTGCAGCCTGCGGCGCAACAGAAACATGAGACAGGGGGTGGCCAAGCGTGATTCAGGAGGGCAGGCCGCGAGCATCCCGTGGCGCAGCCTGGACAGAGCGGGGGAAGCCCTGATTCGGCAGGGCGGCCGTGCGCAACCCGTGCATGCTGGCGCAGACTGTGGCGCGGCCAGGACAGCGCCGCAGGCCCACGGCTCGGGAGGGCGAGCCGTGCGCAGCCTACCGGGGCCGCGCCGCGTCGTGCTGTGTGGTGCCGCGCTGCGCCGGGTCCTCGCACACGCCGTTCGGGGTCTGCTGGCGAGGTGCGGATCTCGGCGGGGGAACAGTCAAAAGCTGGGCGAGGGCTTCTAAAACCGTGGCTGCTAAAACGGCCCTCCCGGAAGGAAAAAACAACTTCCCGGAATGAGGCGTGGCACGCGAAACAGTCAACGGGCTTCTTCCCGGAAGGACGAAGACAACTTCCCGGAGGTCGATTTTAGCAGCCACGGATTTAGCAGCCCTTGCCCGGCTTCCGAAACAGGGGGTTCTCCAGAGGTCCCCCGAGGTCTGAGGCCCCTGAGGCCCCCAGAGGCCCGAAAGGAAGAGCAGCACACTCCAGAGATCCGTCCCCGAACTCGAGCTCTCCAGGATCGAACCGGTGGCGCGGGTGCCGGTTGCCCCAGCGGGTTGCTCGTGATGCTGCAGCGTGCGCGCCTCCGCGCGCCGCGCGCCGCTTGGGAGGCATGGCGATGTCCAGCGAGGCGGCGGCCGCCATCCTGCACCAGGAGGCGCGCTGCACGGGGGTGGTCCGCCGCCGCTCCCTGGGGCCCGCGGCCGCCGCCGGCACCCCCCAGCCCCCAGCGTGGTCACGCCGCTCGAAGCAGCCTCGCGGATCGGCACTCCGAGCGCGGGCGGCGACGGGGCAGCGATCGCTCCGAGGGCGGCGCGGCGCCCCCCGCGGGCCACGTCGGCGGCGTCGCGGAGGCCCGCCGTCGGGCGCGCCCTCGCCCCCCGGACCTCGACTTGCAGAGATCACGCCGGGTGCTCGTCTTCCGCTTCGGGCGTCTGGGGCTCCAGGGCGGTGAAAAGGGCCGTTCGGGGTGAAGAAGCACATCCTTGCTCTTCGCATGACCCCACCAGCCCATCAAGAGATGATGCATATGGGGAGTTGTCTGGAGGAGGGGCGCAGGTAAGGATGTAGCGAAGCAGGAGGCCAACAATCGTTAAATGCTTGACGCTTCGGCGTATCCCCACTCGCCCGCTCAGAAAACCTGCCCATGAGAGCTGACGGGAAAGGGGACGAAGAGACACATTTAGTGATACGCAGCGGGCAACCAGGATGAACAGAGATCTCTGGGAGCAAGGGGGTGGCTTTGGAGGGCATTTTCGGGCCATCCCTAGGGCCCGCGGGGGGGAGAAGGGAGGAGGAGGAGGAGGAGGAGGAGGAGGAGGAGGAGGAAGGCGCTCTTGGGTTTCTTTGGGCCGTCTGGGGGACCTCTGGGGCCCCTCTTGGGACTCTATTGGGCCATCTTGAGGCCTCAGAAGCCCATTGGAAACGGAAAGGCCAGAAGGCACAATTCATTGATGTTTCTGGGATCTCTGAAGGATTTGGGCTGCTTGGGAGGGGTCCTGAGGGGGCTCCGAGATCGTTTGGGGCCGTCTTGGAGGGGTTATGTGGGCCTCTTGGAGCATGTTGGAAGCCATCTTGAGACATCTTCGGGTATCTTGGGCCAGATTGGAGCATCGGAGGCCCTCTTGAGGCCATCCTGAGCCATCTTGGCGCTCTAAGTCTTCGTGCCCCCTCCCAACAAAAACATCAGAGGGGGGACAGGGGAGAGTACCCCTCCCAGAAGGGAAGAGAAGATTTGGAAGGAAGATAAATGCATCGTTAGACCGCCTACGCCCAGAGGGCTGGTGAGATTACACCTCGGGGAGTCTCTTGGAGCCCTTGTGAGACAATGTGGGAAGCCTTTTTGGCTCTCTTGGGCCCTTTGGGGGCTTTTCTGGGGGCCCTCTTTGAGCTCTCTTAGAGCCCTCTTGATCTGAAAAAAGTGCTGTTCAGATTCTGGGGCGCCCCCAGACTCTGGGGGTTGGGGGTTGCTCCGACTTTGTCTCTCGTTGTCCGACTGTGTCTCCTCGCTCATACCCCCTGCCTCCTTCTCCTGGTCCTCCTCCCTGTTTCTCTTCCTACTCCCTCTTCGCCTGCTTTTCCCAGTCCTTTTCTTCCTATTCCTCCTTCCTTCCTCCTCCTCCTCCTCAACCTCCTCCTCCTCCTCCTCCTCGCCCCCAGTGCGCCCAGGAGGCTTTCAAGATGGCCCCATGACGGCCCAGGAGGCCCCAAAGACGGCCCCAAGAGGCCTCTAAGACGCCCAATATGGCCTCCAAGACGGCCCTGAAGCGCCTCAAGAGGACCCCACATCGGTTCAGAGAGGCCCCCAAGACGGCTTCCGACGGCGTCAGACCCGTCAGACGGGCTAGGAACGATTTAAGACTGCCAAGGAGAGGCCCCCAAGACGCCCCCACGGCCCCCAAGAGGCCTAAGGAGGCCCCCAAGAGGCTTCCGAGAGGCCCCCCGGGAAGCCCCCAGGAGGCCCCACAAGAGTGCCCCAAGAGGCTCCCAAGAGGCTTCCTCCTCCTCCTCCTCCTCCTCCTTCTCCTCCTCCTTCTCATCCTCTTCCTCCCTCTCCTGATCCTCCCCCTCAGCCTCCCCCAAGCGTTCCCCGAAGAGTTTCCGGAGCGGCTGGGGGAATACATAATCAGATAGCTTGGCCAAGCTGGGGCCCAACGTTTGGCCACATAGGCGCTTCTCAAAAAGGCTGGGGGCGGCGGTGATTCGCCGTAGGCGTCTTGGATCCGCCGCCCCCTGTGCTTGCCACAGGGTTGGACGGCGTGCCAGACATTTTGCTGAGATTCTGATTTTCAAACCCTTCCCAGTGGCCTTCGGCCCAGACCGCCTGCCCCTCGGAAGGACCAGAAGGTGTGGCCCACATCGCCACCAAGACGGCCCAAACGGCCCAATATGGTCACCAAGATGCCTCCAAGGCGGCTAGGATCGCTCCAAGAGAGCCCAAGACGGCTCCAATATGTCTCCAAGACGGCCCAAGATGCACCCGAGGCGTCCAAGATGGCCCCAAGATGGCCCAGGACGGCCCCAAAGGCCCCCAGGAGGCTTTTAATGCAGTCCAAGAAGCCTCCAAAGGGATCTGCAGGAAGGCCCGAAGAGGCCAAGACAGCTGATTTCCCGTGGGCTCTTGATGGATTTTGACGTTTTCGGCTTGCCGACGGCCCAATGCCGCCGAAGAGACCCCCAAGATGGCCCCAAGAGCGCCCAAGAGGCCTCCAAGACGGCCCCATGACGGCCTCCAGACGGTCCAAGAGGCCCCCAAGGCGCCTCCAAGACGGCCCACGAGAATTCCAAGGCGCCCACGATGGCCTTCAAGACGGCTCCAAAACGTCCAAGATGGCAACGATACGATTCGACATAGCCCCAGGATGTCCCAAGACAGCCACAGAGGGCCCCAAGGGCCCCAAGGGGATGCAAGGGGCCTCCTAGACAGTCTAGGAAGTCTTCAAGAGGACCTCCAGGAGAGCCCGAAATGCCCAAATGGTTGTATTTATTCCCTTCAATTGTTGAATAATTTGGGCGCGTTTTCTTTTTCGGCTGTCCGACGGCCCAAGATGTCCACAAGATGGTCCCAAGACGGCCCAAGCTGACTTCAAGATGGCCCCAAAAGGGCCCCAAAGGGCGAGGAAACAGTCCAAGAGGAAGAGCAAGAGGAAAGGACAAAATCAGAGGCCCGAAGCGGCTCCGAGAAGCCTGCAGCTCAGCGCGGGCTCGTCTGCGGACGCCCTTGCCCCCCCCAGGAAAAACATATCACCCCGAGGCCCGGTGATGTTTTGTGGGGCCGCCATCTCAAAGCCCCACGGCCAGCTTTTGGGTCGAGGAGGAGGAGGGGCAGGAGGACGAGGAGGTGATCAACAGGAACCAGAGGAGCAGGAGCAGCAGGAGGACGAGGAGTTTGAGCAAGGGGTCAAGGACGGAATGATAGGCCAGAAGCGGCTCCGAGACCAAACCGCGCTGAGCTGCAGGGTTTTCGGAGCCGCTTAAGGCCTCTCATTTCGTCCTTGTCCCCCTGCTCAACCTCCTCGTCCTCCTGCTCCTGATTCTCCTGGTTTTGCTCCTCTTCTTCCTCGACCCAAGAGCCGGCCGTGGGGCCTTGAAAGGGCGGGCCGAAAAAATGTCACCGGGGGCCGAGCTGCAGGCTTCTCGGAGCCGATGCGGCCAAAAAGAGGCTGCCCTGCAGGCTGTCTCGGAGCCGCTGCGCCAAAAGAAGGACACCTTGTCGGTTTAACTACTAGGTCGCTTTGTCGGCTGATTTCGGGCGCGTCGTCATCGTGGTCGTCGTTGTCATCGTCGTCGTCGTGGTCGTCGTCGTCACCACCATCGTCGTGTCGTCGTCGTCGTCGTCGTCGTCGTCGTCGTCGTCGTCGTCGTCGTCATCGTCGTCGTCGTTGTCGTTGTCGTCGCCGTCCATAAGATGGCCCCGAGAGGGCCCTAAGAGGGCCCCAAGAGAGCCCCAAGAGGGCTCCGAGAGGGCCCCAAGAGGGCCCCAGGAGTTGTGCAACAACCCAGCGGCCGCTGGTACATAACTCCTGGGGCCCTCTTGGGGCCCTCTGAGGGCCCTCTTGGAGCCCTCCTGGGCCCCTGGTTGGCCCATGAGAGGGCTCCAAGAGGGCCCTAAGAGGGCCCCAAGAGGGCCCCAAAAGGGCCCCAAGAGGGCCCCAAGAGGGCGCCAAGAGGGCCCCAAGAAGGCCCCAGGAATTATGTACCAATCCAGCGGCCGCTGGTACAGAACTCCTGAACCCTCTTGGGACCCTCTGAGGGCCCTCTCGGAGCCCTCTCGGACCCCTGGTTGGCCCTGTAGGGCCCCAAGAGGGCCCCAAGAGGGCCCCAAGAGGGCCCCCCCAAGAGGGCGCCAAGAGGGCGCCAAGAGGGCTCCAAGAAGGCCCCAGGAATTATGTACCAACCCAGCGGCCGGTGGTACAGAACTCCTGGGGCCCTCCTCCTCCTCCTCGGCGACGACGACGACGAGGAGGTGTAAACGCACCCTTACCCAGCCCCTGCAGGACCAGGCAGCGATACTTGGAACAAATTTCCTGGCCCCTGTTTCGACCCCAGAGCTCTCGACCCCGTCCAGGAGCTCCCGACCCCAACCCGGCGCTTTCGGCCCCATCCTGGAGCTCTCGACCCGCAGACGACGGCGACGACGACGACGACGACGCCTCGACCTGGAGTGGTAAGTTTTGCTGCTGCTTTTCCCCAGGGGTTTGGAGCCCTCGGGGCCCAGGGGGGCCCCGAAACGGATCCGAAGCCTCAAATTTTTCCGGCCCGCGACCGACGACCCGCGACAACGACGACGACGACGACGACGACGACGGGCATAAGTTATTTGGCGCCCCCCCTTGGGAGCATCGGGTAACTGGGGGGTGCGCTCCACACCCCCCACTTACCCGGTGTCCCCCAGGGGACATCGGGTAACTCGACCTTGCAGGGGGGGGTGTTAGGCACGGGTTACCCGGTGGCGAGGGGGGGGCATCGGGTAACTCGACTTTGCACGGGGGGGAGTCGGGCATGAGTTACCCGGTGTCCCCTGGGGGACATCGGGTAAGCGGGGGGTGCGCTCCACACCCCCCACTTACCCGGTGTCCCCCGAGGGGCGTCGAGTAAGTCGACCTTGCAAGGGGCGCATTCGGCATTATTCAGTAAACCGGTGGACCCCCATGGGAC